ATGGAAAAAAAGAAACAAACCGAAGGCCGTGAGACAGAGAAAGATCAAAATTGAAAAACGATTGGTGGATGTTTGATTAGTGGTTGCGTAATTTGATAATCAACATCGAGTGCAGAAGTGAGAAGTCAGGTGCAGAAGTCAGCAGGAGAGCGTATGTCACTGACATTTGCTCACTCTTTTGAATATTAAGTACAGTTCTCATATTCCAGCAGGGATTGGTAACAGCGAACCACAACCAAGACAACCAGTGTACTGCAGAGGAGTTAGTGTACGAGGTATAAAAATCCCCGTTTTCTAAAACGCAACTGCGTGCAGAAACAATAAAGATTTTGAGGTTCGTTCTGCACTATTTCTTGGCCCCAACTGCAGGCGGACCTTCGCCAAAGATATGTGCAGAAGCATTATTTATTTGGAAGGACACCAACCTGTCCGTCGCTAATTTGTGTACGTCATACTTGACCTTCGCGCGCGTTTCGGCAGTCACTTGAACAGCGGTGTGATGCTGAATAAAGGTAAACGTAGCCACTCCCCGTAAATAGGATCACTTAAAGTAGAAAATGAGTAAAAACCACTCTATATAGCGAAATAATGCGCATAAATTCTAGTGGCAGCAATGAGTAGTCGTCGGAATGCTAAAAAGGCGATGCTGCCCCAGCGTGCAGCTCGCGGCAGTTCGCGCGTACGAGATGCAAGTACGAAATGCGTTAAAATAATCATGCAACGTTTACGTGCGAAAGCGCATTGTCTTCAAACAGCTGAGAATAGGCTGCTGTAACTGAAACGCGTGTACCTCCCGACACAAATCAGCGAAATTTATCACAGCACACGCACGTGCGAGAAACATACGCAGGTTTTGACAGCCGAACACAGCCTCGTCCGCGATTGTTGGTGAGCGTAACACCCTCGGATCACAGAGAAGCACTAAAGCGACGCACAAACACACGTTAATCGTTCTTGCAGAACGGCGCACAATGAACCGAAGTCTGAGCAGAAAGCGCTCACCGCGGTTGTCTCGATTTCTTGAAGCCCTATAAGTTCCAAATAGCATCGCCTTGCTCTTGTCCGCATTTATCGCCGCTCCGGATGCCTGCGCGTATCTTGTGAACGTCGCACAGAAGGCTTGGAGGCTGCTTTCATGCCGAACAAACAGGGAAATGTCGTCCGCGTATGCCAGCACTTTCGGGGCTTCCCACTGACGGGCCAGGAGCAGGTGAATGCCTTCATGCGCAATAACACTTGTGATCAGCGGTTCGCACGACATGGCAAAAAAGGTCGGGCCCAATGGGCATCCTTGCCTTATGTCCTCTCCTATACTTGAATGCCGGCGTTGCGACTCCGTTTATCACAGCGGTGCAGGTTAGGTCCTCGTACGAAGTTTTTGCCAGTTTTATAAAACTTGCCGGTAAGCCAAACTCCTGCATCACGTCGAAGAGGTGATGGTGTCGTACCCTGTCAAAAGCTTTAGCTTGGTCTAGGGAAATAAAAACACCATTGAAACCTCTTGTCATCGCGTATTCAAAAGAGTCACGGATCGCTGTGAGGTTCGCAAAAAGCGACCTTCCTGGAATCGCGCATGTTTGGTACGGGCTAATGATGTCCGGTAACAGGAGCTTGAGCCTGTTGTTCAGTATAGTAGCTACCAGCTTGTAATCGGTGTTCAAAAGCGTGATTGGACGCCACGCCGTGGGCTCGTTTGGTTGTGCACCCTCTTTCTGTAGTAGGACAATTTTACCCACTCCGAAGGAGTTGGGCTTCTTAAAGGACCTGAAGATCGCTTTCACCATCGCGAGCAAGGGTTCTTCGAGAACTTCGAGAAAAGTCGCATAGAAGGCTGCAGTCAGGCCATCAGCGCCTGGGGCAGAATTGGGGGTCATGCTTCTTACGGCTTCGCGAAGCTCTGCAGAGGAGACTTCATCGCTAAGGGTTGCTGGCTCCTCCTCCTCCTTAATTCGCTGCAGATGTTTGCAAAGTTCTTTGACATGGTCGGGTCTCCAATTGGTGTATATTGGTTCGGTGTCTTGGAACTGTATTCTGAAGATGTTCTCAATTTCTGCTGGGTCGTCGGTTACAGAACCGTCTAAGCGCTTTGCCTCCGTTATTCGCAAACAGCCATTTCCACGTACTTCCCTCACATCAACTCCGGTCGCCGTGCCCAACAGTCCATACTCACTTCTAGGTCGCCTCATGGTATCTCTGAAGAGTTGGTTGTATTGCTCCTCGAGCGAGGTCAGGTACTCTGTTTTACATAAGGTCAACGTGTCGGCTGCCTTACTGATCTGCATTCGGCGAAGAAGTTTTTTCATCTTTTGTGTATGACGTCTTTTTCTGGCTTTGCCTTCTTTTTGTAACAGGGCCTTCCATTCTTCCTTAAGTTTATCCCACAGAGGGGGGGTAATATGTCCGGCATTTTCTACTGATGCGCTGATGACAGCTTTCAAGTTTTCTACGCAAGTCTCATCTCTCAGCAGCTCAGCGTCTATTCTCCAGATATTGTTATCAGAATTCGGGCCGGGGGATCCCTTTACCATCGTGACAAGTGGGGCATGATCCGTCTTCTCTTTCAGGTTGGCCGGGAGTGCGAGTACTTCGCATCCTTCAACCAAAGGGAGGAGGAGGTCCGGAAAGTACATCCGGTCTATTCTACTTCCTGCTGATCTAGAGGTACGGGTTGCTACGAAGCGGTCTTTATAGAGGTGTAGCCATATGTCCGAGAGGTTTAGGTGCCGAAGGGTTTTCACCAACTCTTTTGCATTGTAGGTTGATCTTCCTTGGCTTGGCCCCCTCACGTCCTGGTTAGAATCTACCCCGCAATTAAAATCACCGACCAGTACGTGGGGAATGGGCTCTAGGAGGAGTTCGTGCATCTCTTGAAAGAACATATTCGTATGTTTTCTTGTCACGGGGGCATAGACGTTCACAATGCGTATCTTTTTTGCCTTCGATGAAAATGTCAATCATTATGTACCGGCCATTTGCCCCGAAAATACAATGGGATTTTGATCGAATTCTGCCTGATACGAATATTACTCCGACCCCGCATGCTCTTGTTGTCGCCAGAGAGAAAAAGGCGTCAGTCTGATGATCTCGGCAGAAATTAACCACATCCAGCGGCGTTCGGAAATTCGCCTCTTGAATAAAGAGGAGGTCTATGTTCTGGTTCCTAGCGAAACCTAGGATGGCTGCTTGTTTCGCCCTATCTCTAAACCCTCGAATATTCCACGTAGCCAATTTCAAAAAGGCCACCAAAAACCTTAAAAAGAAGAAAACAAAACCCGGGAAGTATCGAGGCAAGCAAGCAGCGTGGCCATCAGCCGCCGATTGGGCACGATGCCAAGCGCTGGAGGGGAGAAGGAAAGAGGGGTGAGCGAATGCACCGAGCAAGATAAGCGATAGCCGCGTGCTGACAGAAAGGGGCGAGGAGGGTGCTGCACCAGAAGGAGAAGGGAAGGCAAGTGGGACATGGTGCGGCTAGAGCGAACGAGAGGAAGGAAAAAGGGCCGTGAAGCCGACAGGGCAGGCGCGCCGCTTCAGTGACGTGCGTCTCGGGGCTTGGGGGGTGGTTCCCCTTTGCCTACACCGTCTTTCTCGAGCTTCTGAGCCTTCGCGTGTGGTGGAGCGTCGCTATCACTGCTTTGGCCTGCTGGCCCGGGTCTACGCTGCCGGGCCTCCTTGCTGGCTGCCCTCTCACCCAGATACCGCTTATCGTCATCAGGGCGTCTTCGTAAGCGCGAGCGAGCTCTGTGCTCTAGCCCAGTGGCCATCTGTCCAGTTTTTGCGTCAGATTTCCGGCTTGGGCGTGCCGAATAGGAGGCAGGGGAGGAAGTCGGTGCAGCATGGTCGCATTCGCTGTCGCCGGGTAGAAATACCCTTTACTTTTTATGGGGGCGTCGTCGCCGGCTGGGTCTTGGGTGCCGGCCTCCAAGACCAGGCTGGTCGCTGTGGCCCGGAGGTTGACGGGTGTGTGGGATAAAGCGAGGAGGGCCTCTCCCTGCTCGTTGGACTTGGGGGTTGCTTCAGTCGCGGTCAGCGAATTACCGCAGTCATCCCGGCTCGCCGAGGTTGGAGGCGGCTTAGGGGGGGACGATTGCGCCGAACCCGTCTCGATATCGCTAGACCCTGTTTCGGTCGACCTGGTGGTAGTCTCGTCAAAACTCCCGGGCCTCTCCTCCTCACTGGCGGACGGATCGCCCATGCCACTGCCTGAAGTCATATCGGAGTCTAAGTCGCGGTCCCCGGAAGTGGATCCCCTCTCGGTTGTGCGGGATGCGGACCTCGACGTAAGGACCTGCATACGCGGCGAGTTAGTTGCTCGGGCACAGGTGGGGCCGCTTGACTGAGAGTGCGACGAAGCGGATTCAGATAGCGAGGGGAAGCCGCGGGCGGCAGAAGCGTATGAGCGCTTACGAAAGCACTCGCGTGTTCCGTGGTGACCCCCGCAACGTTTACAGTCTGCCGAGCAGCCCTCAGTATCGTGGCCGAAGGTGCCGCACCGCTTACAGTACGCCGTGGTGCACGCAGTCGCCATATGCCCGACTTCACCACAACGCGCGCACACCCGGCGCATGCCTCTGTACTCGCACATGACTTTGTGCCCCGCAATAGTGATGAAGTTGGGGACTGGGCGGCACATCTCAATTTTAACCACACGTACCCCGTTTAACTTGGTCTGGCGAGTGGCTAGGGTGGCGAACGTAATGCCCTTCACTTTACCAAACTAGGCTAAGGCATTGCTAAGGGCCTCGTCTGATAGAAAAGCGGGGTCACGGTAAACGTTCACATATGTAACCGGCGGCCCGACTGCCTCTACTGGCACCCTCACCCCGTTGACTTCAAATCCTTCCGCTACCATTAGCCTCGTCGCCTGGCCAGCATTGCGGGTGCATACAAGAAATTTTGCGCCCCCCATATGTTGCAGTACTAATACGCTGTCGTCACCAGCTGTCTCTTCAATTGCGTCAATTAACTCATCGACAGAGATATCGCCCTCGGGCGCAGAAAACATGAAACAATTCTCGTTCACCGGGAGTTCAAATGGCGTGGCCATTCTGGTGGGCGGACCCCGCAAGCTGCCGGTTGGGCGTGGCTCGTGGGTGACTTGTAACGTGCACTTGAGCTGCACTCTGGTAGGAAGCGGCTCAGCCGAGGCAGGCGCCGCGCAGGTCTTCGTGGTACCAGGTGGACCGCAGGGGGTTTCCGGGACGGCGGGCGTGAACCGGGACCTTGCACCTCCTCCTGGCATGGGGTAGGCGGGCTCCAGGCAGCAAGGCTTGAGACCCAGGGGCGGCCGTCGCGCGTACTAGACGCCGGTGCCGCGTAGACTTCTTTTGTCGACTTGAACCCCTGGGGTCGACGTCCGCGTGACGTGACCCCGGGTCTCGCGTGAGGACTCGAGAAGAGACAGCTAGATCGGCGAACGGAGCATCGGCCGTCGATCAACAACTGACAAGTGGCGAAGCGCGTCGGTATTTATACTCTTGCTGTCGAATGTTCTAGCGTTATCGCTGGCGGTGGCGTAGGTTCCAGAGCAATCTGTACCGTTCGCACAGTGGGCGTGATCTTATCGAAATGATCTACTACAGCCCGGAACCTTCTCGAAAACTGCAGGCGCGGTTTGCGCTGAGAATCGTGTGGTGTTTTGGGACGATAACAAAAACTTGGGAAATAGAACGTGGCAATATAAAACTAACACGGGTTGTTTTGATTGCCTGAGTTTTACATTGCTTGCGTTGGCGGAAGTTTTCGTTCCAGCTTTCGTCGCAGCGAGGAAGAGCGTGTGGTGACTGCAGGTGTTCTCCTAGCTCCTCTTTTTTTCTCTCTGTGGGACTTCTCACAAGAAGTATGTAGTATATTTAAATACCTATGCACAAGTTCCATGTGTATGTCCATGTCATCGGGGCCTTTATTAAGCTGTTCTCATGGCTTTTAGCTTCTAATTTTGCTTGGTGTTCGGAAGTTTGCGATGAATGAGTTTTGTGGATACGGCCAAACTTTAGACTGACTCAGGACATATCCCGGAGACACCAGCTTTCATACGTGAAATGACGCATTTTGTTTTCAGTGTGGGACCCACAGATTTATGGCCTGTAACGTCATTTGAAGACGCTTTACGTAATAGTCGAAGTTTTCAGAAAAAAACGTCTTGAGTAGACCAGACGAAAATGGCAGTTCAGGCCTACCTGTAGGGTGTCGATTAGTGCGTTGTACTGAAGCAGTGCGTTCGAAAATTGCAGGCGCCAAACAAATACCGAATGACATGACGTTAAGCTCAAACTGGACATGTAGTGTCGCAATCGCGGTTTTCTTCTCAATCTGTCTGTATGACTTTCAGTTTGCCAGTAGCCTGTCATGAAATTCATCTACGAAAAATACAATGAGTTGCGTAGCTGACCTACAGTGTCGTTTGGCTGTAGAAAAAAAGGATACGAGTCATAAGTGATTACGTTGATACGGTGGTGGTAGATGCAGATTCACAAGAATGCATTCTTCCAGTTGATGCTTGGGGCAAGTTGAAAGTGGTTATGTATTTTTAAAATGGGTAGCACAAAAAAAGGAGGGCACAACAAGTATCACTTAATACCTTCTCAAAATTAACTTTATTAGAAAGAACACACAAAGTTTAAACCGCGAACGAGTGTCACATGCTCGTACATGATTGATAGCAAAAAAAATACAGAAAGAGGTGTTCCAACAATGATCAGAAACAGCTCGAAAAAAAGTGCTAACACGTGCGCAACGTACTAAGGGCTGAAATGATTGAACAAGAAAATTTTTGTCATTCATTGCTAGTGAGAGAATGCTTACGGATTGATTGCCTTTTTTGTTGAAGGAGCTTTGAAACACTTTTTCAGCGTGCTCAGAAAACGCTGCCGATCGGTAGTAGAGGCTCCGGACAACACGCGAGCCGAATCTTATAGCGCCCCACGCGGCCTGGAATCCACAATAACTGATCACAGTCAGCTAAAAATAGCTTTCTCTTCTCTCGGCAAATCACGGCATTAAACCCAGTAAGCTCATTTATCAGGCATTGGCTGATTTGAACATGGCGCACTCGCTCATTACAGAGATCGCCGCGAAAGGCCACTACTTGTCCACGCGCGTGCGCGGTCATACTGAAAAAGCCACGTATTCAAAAAAAAACAGAAGAAAGTGTTCAAAGCCAAGAGGCGCCAGTCACGTGGTTTCTTTGCTCTTGCCACCCCTCCCTGCTTAGCTTCCAGTTCTTTCGTCGTGACGAGAAAAGAGAGAATGCAACTGCAGCATGCGACAAATCTTTGTAACTCCACTCGCACTGGATGGATTCTCAAACTTTTTGTGGCGTTGAATTCGTAAGGCAATGAGCTCTTCCAGTGAACTTATTTCGTGATTGCTCGAAAAAGTGTTTCAGGGCCCCTTAAAGTGATGAGACTAAACAATGTCTCTTGTAGTCTGATTTTCATGCCTGAAGAAACAAATGTCACAAAATTTAGGGGTGCATCTGCGTTATGCACAGTGTCGGGCGACATGTCAGTACGCATTGCCTTAAAGCGAACACTGGTGTTCTGACCTTACATTTAAGCAACGGCCTATTTTTTTCAATGTGCACATATTCACAGGAACAACAAAGCCTTACACTACTGGTATGCATTGAACAAACGATGACGTATGCGGTGCAGCCTTGTTTTTTTTGGGGGGGGTCATACGTGATCTTTTTTTTGCCAGCTTGTTTTCAACTCTACACCAAGTGTTATGTTGTTTTCTTTTCTCATAAAAAATGAATAGCATTGGTAGTATAGCTAAAGAGAGGCTGGCAAAAAAAAAGATGACCAAAAAACCATTATTGTAAAACACACTTCACCGTTTGTACCGTGAACAAAGTGACTTGTACACCGAATTGAGCTTCTTTGTGGTCATGTACACATTGGAAAAACTCGCCATAGACTGAAAGCAAAGTTAGAGGGGGACAACCTCTAAGAAAATTTGCAAGCTTCGGAATAGGCTGGACAAGCACCCTCTGAAGAGACAGAAGGGGTCTCAAAACGTAGGTCCAGTTTTTATTGTTAAAACTGAACACTAAGTGTACCTGGACAGTCTGCTTATTCGTATAATTTTACCCAGCCAGACAGATCTGTGAATATGTTTACCTTTAATGCAAATTTATATATATGCCGTTACTTGTACATAAGTCTGGCACATCTGCGGTTTTAAGTGGTTAGGATTTATGCCAGATACCCATCCTGCCAGCAGTTACAACGTTAACGCCATAAAACGTTGTTCTGCATGCCTATTTTGACCGTATTTGTTAGTGACTATGAGCGAACGCCTCCTGCAATGAATAATATGGGCCTGAAATTTGATTTCACGCAGATTGAAATTTCAATCAAAACAACTAGAGTGGAGTTATTAGCGCTTTGCCGTGGGTTTCCAACAGCAAGGCACTGGTTCAGGGGATCGCGTGTGCGCCCACCTGAGGAACAGCCTGGAGAACCTTGCGGCAATGTACGGCTGCATCTTCACTGGAGCGACACTGGTGCTGGCGAAGACTTCCCTCACCGAAAGTGCGTTGCCAATGATCGGCTGCTAATACACTCTTAGAAGTAAAGGATGAAGAGGGGTTTGAGGTGGCTCCTTTTGTAAAGTAGCTAATTTGCCACACCCATTTCTCCGTTTTCGGAGCAACTGTGGAGGGACGCACTATTCTCCCTCTTCCCCCAGTTACTCCTCAAGGGAGCAACAGTAGATTGTTGCACAATAGTAAAATCAGATCTTGGTTGACCTAGCTAGAATATTTTCAGTTTGTAGAGGCATGTGAATAGATGTACAATCGGCATGCAAGCATAGCATTCAGAAATAAAGTTCAGAATATTGACAGCAAACACACGGGATTTGAGTTCACGGCCACTGAGTAAGCATGCGTGTACCACACCGCCTTACGCCGCCGCTTGGAAAGAAACTCGTATAAGTAGGCACTGGTGGGCAGTTTACACATGGCGCGAGTTCTCCTGCAGTTACTAAAAAAAATTGGGGGGGGGGGGAGCGCTCTCCTTCCTTGAAGGGGAAAGCGCCCTTCTTGGCCTGCCTTACGCAAGCATTTGTAAACACTTTTGGGGGGGGGGGGTTGTAACAAAGCGCTCTTTTTGGTGCACGAAACTGGCCTAATTTGAGTGTAGGCGCGCCCATTTTTGTGCAACTGTAGATAAAAAAATCTGGTGAGGTGTTTATGCAGGCGCTAGAATGACCACAAGGACCCAGCGGCATCAGTTCGATGAAGGAGATTACTTGCGTCGCTTAAGGAACAATGAACAGCATACAGCAGGTGCGGGAAGAGGCAGCTCGCTAACGTAGACAAGCAACAGGAAGTAAGAAAAAGACGTATTTCGGTTGGACATCTGACCCGCGCAAGCGGAAAACCTGTAGATGATATGCCAGCCAGCGCCAGGCATATTTCCACTGAACAGCTAATTTTTTCGCAGCGGCGGTGCCTGCTTGGGATTTAATAAAAAATACAAAAAGGAACAAGTGTAGGTTGCACTTGAGGCGCAATGGTCAAGAGACAGGGGAGCTAATTTCGAGCTTAGCACACAGTGATGCAAGTCCTGAACTTATTGCATAGGTGAATGGTGGCTTTATTTTAGTTCTTTTTTTCTCCGTCTTTCTACTTTTCTCTCTTCCTTGTCATTTTCTATTTATTTCTTTCTCTATCTCCTTTTCTTTTTATTTATTTCTCTTTAGCATTGCTATTTTTTCTTGCAATGTCGAACTTTCTTTCTTTCTTTCTTTGATTTCCTCTCTTTCTCTTTTTAATTTCTTTTTCTTCGTTTCTTTCTGTCACTCTTTGCAACAGTCTCTTTGGAACAAGTTCTATAGCGTTCATCAATTGGGTATACGCTTTAAGAAAACTCGAGCAATATTATCACTCTCATCATAATTACTTCAATGTTCTATGTCTTTTTGACCATGTGTAATTAATGCACTTTGCATATATATATATATATATATATATATATATATATATATATATATATATATATATATATATATATATATATATATATATATATATATATATATGCGCGAGGAATCACACAAAAACCATCCTTGCTGATATTTCTGACTTTGTTATTCCCTTTGTTTAGCCGAGTATGCACTCATTCCAGAGCCCAGCAGCGCTGTCATCCTTAAATTCGGCCATGACTGCGACGTAGCACGACCACCTGCCCAAATTGTCCTTGGTTGGCCGCACTGAGCCTGCCGCGGTGGTCTATCTTGCCTACGCTGCGGGTTGTCTTGCCGACATACAGAGCTTCGCTGTGCCGACAATGGCTTTGGCGGGGTGGCCGCCGCAAGTCTGCAATGCACAGCGACTTTCCTTGGCTGGCTGCCAAACATTCTGGGGGACGACAATGTGTATGGAAGCGGTCGACCTCGGCCTCGCAGCGATGTAATTTGGAAGTCGGGGAATGAGGGCTCCAGTGGGCGCCGCTGGCTATGTCGAGATGGTCGTCGCACGCCTAGCAGCAGAATACGCTGTCGCTGTTTCGCGCTTAGGCGTAAGCCGTGCTTGCAGATGTTAACGTGCTGGGCAGGCACGTACTTGCCCACCGAAGCATGCTTGTGAGTTTGTACAGGCTGCGAGACGCGGCCTCCATGGTATGACGCCGAGGCCTCTGTGCTGCAGTCTGACTCTCCAATTCCATCAAGAAGGAAAGACGTTCTCTGGTGACTCCATGTCACATTCATATGAGTTAATGCCTCCGGAGTCGAACCCCACGAGGCAGACGCCAGCGTTGCACACAGGCACCACCTTGCCGCTTCCTGCGAGTTGGTCGCCGTCTGACCGAACAGTGTCGTGTTTCCCGCTGACGCATGCTACCTCCAGGAGTGCCATACGGCACTGTGATGGTGCTAAGGTGCGCTGCCCATCATCGTCATCAGCGGCGAATGCCAGGCTGGCAGATCCCCACACCACAGGGAAGTGTTGGATAGATCTGTTTTCGGTAGCCATGAACTTGCGTGCAGTACGAGAACACTCGGCCAATGACAGCCGTGGAGTCGGAAGATGTGTCTCCTGCTGGTGAATAAGGATGTAGTATTGCTGGACATCTGTGGTTGGGATGCTTCAACATTATGTTTGGGGTAGTAAATGTTCGGGGTCTGAGCGCAGCGATTTACTACACCGCCACCTATGATAAGCTGAACCTCACCAGACAAGGGGTTGTCTGCACCTAAACCCATGTCCGCGTGCAATTCCTCGAGGATGGGAATGGCGGCAAAGAACTTGCCCCCGGCGTCGGTTCACAGCCGCAAATCTAATGCGCCAAAAGACAAAGCACTTACACTGATGCCTCTCAAGGGTGCTTCGGACTAAAATGGGAGGGCAACGGGGGCATGGCGTTGGTGTAGCGCAGTACGGGCAGCTCCAGTTTGTACAACATCCGTAAACTCCCCGATTCCGTCAACGTGGCCTTGTGCTCTAGGAAGTGGTCGTGCCGGGGATATGGTAATTTAATGTGGTACATGAGGTGGAATCACGTCACTGATACTGTCATTGAAACTCGGCGGGTGGTGCTCTTTCTGGACTCGCTGTAGAAACAAGATGAGTTCATGGTTCGTGTGAGCGATGGATTCCGAACGTCCTCTCGGTGAGCTGTGCTGTTCAGCTGCAGCCTCAAGAGCGAGCCCCTCGTAGCTTCATCTTCGGTAGTATTCCGGCTGGCCACACATGGGCCATGATGAATCCGGCCGAAAACACCAATGAGCCTTTGCACTTCATTACAGCAAGGTCCATTGCTTAATGCCCTCGTATTTATGCCGTTGCAGAAAAAAGGCCCATGGCCAAGGGAGCATGGACGGCGTCCTTTTGTGGCTAAGATGAAGGTAGAGTGAATCTTGCGATCCACGCATTGGGAAATGCAAACCGCGTTTCCAGAAGGAGCCCGTGCGCATTGTAGGTGTGAAGTATTACGCCACCGGTCAAGTGATTCCCTGGGACGATTGTGGAGGCCTGGACGCACGCCATCCGCTGGTGGTGGAATGGATACTTGTGGCGGAGGCCGACTTGCAAGTTCCGTCCACGAGGAAGCCTGGCCACGCCCATCAGGAAAGCGCATTACCTGAGGCAAGCAGCAGGAGGGCGCCAAAGCATTTTGGTGACTGCGCCATTGTAAAGGAATGAGACAAGGAAGCAACGCCCTTGCTGCAAGCTGGCTGTTTTTTTTCTTTGTTCTTCTCTTATTCTAACCGATTATGCGCCCGTGCCAGAGTCCCAACGGCAGTGTCCTACACACATTCTCTCTCTATATATACATATATATATATATATTTGTATATATATATATATATATATATATATATAAAGGAAATAATTGTATACTTAAGGGCTCGTTTTTCCGTGTTCTAACACAACATTGATGAAATCTAACAGACAATAATGCCAAGGAAATATAGGGGAGGAAATAAAGGGTGCCGTGGGCAGGAATCGGTTCCTGCCCACTGCAAGTTATCTTTTCATTCACTTGTCTTTCTTCACATTTACCTTACATTTCTGTCTAATAATCTCCCCTATATTTCCTTAGCACTATTGTCTGTTAGAATATATATAAATATATATACATATATATATATATATATACATATATATATATATATGTTATGTCCGGTGTTGTCGTCGGCCCATAGACGTACGCGTTGGTCGCGGTCGTCCAAAAAGCTCAGAGAGCCTCGAACCGGTTAAAAACAGGTTTATTCCTATTCGGATGGAGGTGGCGGCCGAACTGCCGGGGGAAACGACGGTGGCTCGTTTGCGCCGAGCGGGGGAAGGGGAGGAGTCAACATCTGGAAGCAGTTTCAGCAACCGGTCCTCCGCGGGTTCGCTCGTGACGCAGGGGTGCTTGGAACACAACATCTCCTCCCTCCCTAGCTTGTCGCTTGGAAGTGATCTGGGGGCCGCCGTGGGCGCGTGGATGCTCTGGACGCACTAGGAAGAGAAGCCTCCGCTCGCTGGGTGTCGTTTCTCTTGTGTTCAGGGCCGGCGGGCGGCGGCGCCGATTCATCTGGTGCGAGATCCCAGGCTAAGTGGAACGAAGCTTCCGTCGAGGTGGCTGCTTGAATGGGAGGTTTTCTTGCCAAATTACCTGAACGGCGTAGCTGATTAAGGTAGCGGCGTGTGGCCTTTCCACCAGTGTCGACGAGCCATAACCGCAAACCTATGCGTTTGAGTGCCGTCGCTTCAACCCAGCCGGGCTTTCTGTGGAACTGGCGGGCGTATATGCGCTGTCCACTTTCATTTCTCCTGCTATGCGGGAGCTTTCGCTGAGGGCTCCGGGACAATTGCTGTCAGCTGGGTTCTCATTTCTTGTCCGAACATCAATTTTGCTGGCGTTTGATCAGTAGTGCTTTGAACAGTGTTGTGCTGTCTGAAGAGAAAGCGCGCGATGCGGTGATGCATTGTCTAGTCTGGTCTTTAGTAAGGGCGCGCTTTAGCTCAGCCACGTAGCGCTCGGTTTGTCCGTTCGTAGCCGGGTGGTAAGGAGCTGATGTAACAGACGAGACGCCGTTG